AATTTGCATATCGACATACTTCGCGCAGTGCAAGAAACAAATCTCAAGTTTTTAATGAGCTACCAGTCCAAAAACGTTTTCGTATTTAGCTCGTTTTATTGCAGTATGATTTGTTTTACTGCGATGTGCTAAATAACAACAGCAGTAGCCACATGCAATCATTGACTACCTATTTTTTGTCATTGCTTCCGTAGTTTGAACTCATACCGCGATCGGCTCAGTTGTTATCCCACGAGAACGTTTCGAGCTTGACCTTTGCTTCCCCGGCTGGCTTTCAAGCAATATAATTCGCGGACCGACCCTTTCCGAATACGATCGACTTCTTTGTATGCGAGATGAACGTATAAGGGGCGATTCTCAGCAAAAGTGTCTTCGCAAAACACCCCATTCTGTCACAAAGAGCGAGCAATGTCGCTTTTCTCGTCCCCAGTTTCCATGGTCTACGCATGGAACGCCTGGGACCATGACCCCTTTTGGCGACCAAACCGCTTGCATTTTATGACTCGGGTTTTCCTACGGAAACAAGAGAAAAAACTAACTGGGGGCACTATTTACACAATACAATATACCTAATCTTCAGTTAAATTTTATTTACAATTTAATGAATAATGTATAAAATGAATAAATAAATAAATAAGTCAATGAAATATATGAACTTAGTAAGATATAAAAGCTTAAAAGATATCAAATATGTGTAATATGTAAAATTTAAAGCGGCCTTGCAGCATATATCACAGTTCTTACAATTATCTATTTAGTGTGATAGGTCTTTACTTTTAATACTGTTTTTTTAAAACTCTTAACATTAGTCTTCTGACTCTCTATCAGTTTTGTCTAGTTTGTTCCAAAGATGGGCCCCAAAATATCGTAAAGAATGTTTTCCATAACGCACTGTGCGAAAACGTAGAATATTAAAATCAGCGTTCCTCAGATTGCATCGTCTCGGGGTACCATTGAATATTTATGTTATGTGAATGGGCACGAGTCCGTTTTTCACTTTATACATGAAAATAGCGATGTTTTGTAACCGTTGTTAGTACAGACTTGATAGACCTGCTCTTGTTAGTAGCTCACTGTAGGTGGTCATTCCACTGAAATAGAACCTGCACTGAGATTTTGTGAAACTTTGCCTATTGATTGTTTATATTATAGGAACTTAAATTTTGAAATAAAAGTGAGGGGTCCCCATGTTCGTTTTTTAATGCGCGCGCGCTAATCACGCGTGAAATTATGCGCAGTAATGATGCGCAGTGCAATACTGGGGAACAACCTTAAAGACTGCCCCGGGTGCGCGCTCTTGAATTCACTCCATTTTCTTCTTATCGGGTGATTTCCAAAAGTGTCATACGATATCACGACATGGTAGGTGGGGCAAAATGTAAGACTTGTACAGCTGTAACTTTTCGGACCATGGAATTAAATTACGTAGTCTCAATAATACCCCAACCTTAAAGCTCGTTTTCTTACAAATATCACTGATGTGTTCTCTAAATGTCAGTTTGTTATCAGTGGCTACGCCGAAAATTTTGAGATAATCAGATGATTTGACTTCATGTCCATCGAATTCCATCGTCAATCCATACACAGGAGTTCTCCTGGAAGGTTGCCGATCAATGATAAGGATCTGGTACTTCTGAGGGTTGGCTTGCAGTAGGTTTTCCTTTTACCATTGTGACTCTGCCTCTATTTGTCTCCTAAGAGTTTGGGCGGCCCTCTGTATATCATTAGTGTATAATTGATGGTCATCAGCATACATAAATAGATTAGCAGACTGCCTATGTAGCGAAGATCATTTCGGAACAAGTTCCAGAGTAGAGGACCGAAGGAGGAGCCTTACGGACACGCCCTTGTTTGTTCTTTCCATGCGCTGTGCGCTTCTTGTCGTTTGACTTTGTTTCTGCTGCGCTCAAGAAAGGATCGCAAAGGATTCAGCGATGTTTCGGAAAAGCCGTATGCTTTCAGTTTCTGAATCATTAGTGCGGGTGCAGCGAATCAAAACCTTTGCTCATATCGGTGGACAGAACAGTCACGTACCCTTTATTATCGGCAGCCATTTTCCAGTCCTCTGTTGGCCTTATTAATGTAGTTTCGCAGCTATGTGTTTTTCTGTAGGCCGACATTTTCTGTTATAGATGTAGATTCATGGTTTTCGTGATTTGCTTGGAAAGTAATAATTCGAATACTCTATCAACAGAGTTCAGAACTGTTACGTTATAGGGCGGTAATTTCCCTGGTCGGCTTTATCTCTTTTCTTGAAAACGGGGATCTATTCCCCCATTTTCCACGTGTTACTTTGCACTTTTTTCTATTCTTTTTTCCTTTTTTTGCTGCAATATCATATGTCAGTTGTTTGCCCGTGAGCGGCAAACTCGCAAGCTTAAAAACAAAGCTATGTCTTGGTTTGCGCGTCCTGAAAAGTTAAGGAAATCCAAATTAATTTTACAGTATGTTAAACAAAGCTACAAATAATACACTATTCAGGAGAAAATGATGTGTTTTATCACGTGTGTTAACATTATATCACTGATATTTAATTTACGAATCTACCATATCATACATCTTGGCTCGTTTATAGCAACCTTTGGACATTTATAGCAATCGTCATGCACGTTTGCGAATCGTGATGAATTAACATGTCTTGATGTAAGAACCTGAATATTGGCCGAACAATATTACTCTTTACTGAGTTCAAAAAAAGTAAATTTACATCTGAGAGATTTCGCAAAAACACGGCCGCTAACGATAGGTTTGCTCCTGGACTCGGGCTGCCCGAATCCAGGCTAAGCTAGCGGCCTTAAACCCAGGAGGGGGGGGGGCTCCCTTAAGGCCAGGCTGGGCACATGGCCCTGGTACTGGCCAATCTGCTGGTGGTTTGCTGGCGGCCAGCTGTGAAAAGCAGGAAGGAGGGGAGGGTGCCTTGTACTGACACCCCTAGATAGCTAGACTTTGAGTTTTCAGCGCTAAATAACATTGATATTGACTGTGTTTCTGGGTGTTTTACTCAGTTGTTTGACCTTGTTTGAGGCTTCTGTGTTGACATGGCACCCTGCTGGAGTGGTCCACGCCACTTGCATGCGTGACGGGCCAATCTTCTAGCCAGGAAGGGGGTGGGTGGTCAGAGGACTTCTGGCGGGTGGGACTGTCTTTGAGTCAATGCGGGCATGTTTTTGCGAATTCGGTCAGATATATATTGCGAATATTGATTGTGTATTTCTTGCATCTTGACGAATATATCACAAAGTATTCTTAGCCTTTAGTTTATTTATATTATTACCTTTTAAAATAAACCGTCCAATAAAAATCTGTGAGCAGAAAGCCACAATCTTGTAGACTGTATAACTACAAGACCTATTTTCTTGGTGATATCCTAACATAATTAGCGCAAGATTTGTAAATAGTACAAATAAATGAAAGTGCAGAAAATGAGACCTGGGTTTACACAAAAAGTTTTCTTGGTGAGCTTTATGTTTGGAAGGAATGCTGTTTTCAAAACTTCAAATGCACAAGATTCAGCTAAATATAACGACGTGAAGATGAACACTGGCGAACTCATCCTATAAACAAACTTTATAAAAACTGGATCTGTCTCAAGTCATTATAGTTCCCTTTTTAGTAAAAGAGCTGAATATGAGCGAAGCTAATAACGTCAGTACGAGTTTGGCGTCTGCTTATGGAGTTGAAATGACTTTTTGCGGGAGGGCTATAATCATACTTTTACAGTATGTTAAACCAAGCTACAAATAATACACTATTCGGAAGAAAATGATGTGTTTTATCACTGTATCTTCACATAATATCACTGATATTTAATTTAAGAACCGACCATATTATTCACCTTGGCTCGTTTATAGCAACCTTTGTACATTTATAGCAATCTTCATGTTCTTGATAAATTGACATGTCTTGATGTAAGAACCTTAATAATGGCCGAACTATATCACTCTTGGCTGAGTTCAAAAAGGTAAATTTATATAATTTCGAATATTGATTGTGAATCTCATGCATCTTGAAGAACATATCACGATGTAATCTTTGTTTAGGTTTGTTTATATTATACTTTTTAACCGTCCAGTAAAAATCTGTGAGCAGAAAGCTACAAATCTGTAAGACTGTATAACTACAAGATCTAGCTCGAGTTGGTGAGGTAATGATGGCGCAACCAAAGAAACTTTACGTTTTGATACTAGAAATGAAAAAGTAATCTCCCCTTCTTTCCCTTACAGTGTTTTCGTAAATAAACGCAAAAAAATTTCCTCTAGTGTAATCTTTACTGCTTTCCTCTTGAGTTATAGAAACACTAATGAAAGTTTGGGAGAACTCAGAAAAGCTGTGGAAACACAGCGTTTCTCGATCTCAAACTGTCCACATGTGTTTCTATTTAGCTATGAGACTACAAGCCCAAGTTTTCTATGAGCGAAGGTCAATGAGACGTAGTCGATTTAACTATCACTCATAGAAAACTAGGGCTAGTAGTCTAATTGTTTTAGTAGACACTCTTAAGCCGGATTACAGCACAAAAAACTAGTTTAAAATTAAGAGTAATTTTCAGTTTCAAGAGCAGCCGGCGCAAGAGTTGTGTATCAGCGAATAGAATACTATGATTAAACCAATCAGATTGGCGGATTTCCAATAGTACACAGCTAAGTAGCTACTAAGACTCGTTAGAAACACACAAACCTATTTTCTGTTTCGTAAATATATCTTATTATGATATCATTGATCTTAAATTTACGCGTCTTAACGAATATGCGAACTTCATTCATTTTTAGCCTCTTTCATGTATTCATAGCTACACTGTATCTAAATATACTTTTGTGAATCTCAGTGTTTCTCGGCTCAGTGAACCTTGATGTTGATCTAGTATTATCACTCTTGTTCTATAAATAACCAATCTTCTTGTTATGGTCAGTTTTGACTAGCACATGCGGGGCAGGCCCATATCAGGACAGTGTATATATACAGTTGTTGTTCTCCAGTCTAAAGCAAACTTGCTCTGGTAACTTACGAAAGACGTATTCAGGCATAATGTTGGCGTCTAATACGCTTGTTGCAACTTTTGTCCTGGTTTTGCTTATTTCTTTTACAGAGATCAGTCAAGGAAGTGAAAATCAACCAAACAGCGTAAATGAAGGTATGTTTGGCTTGAAATACTATGAAGGATTGATTTCTGTTTGGAGATCTTCAGCGTAGTGTTTTTTTAAACTGATAGTCAACTTCTTGTTCACACGTCATTTGTCTGTTGTACGCGAAGAAGATTCCTCAAATTTTCTTTTTTTTTTTCTTGTAATGAATCGTTGTCTATATATGTTTCAGATACCTTGAAGCTTTTTAGCGAAAACAAATTCAGAAACAAGCGTGATGGTTTGTATGAGAGCCCTTGTTTAGTATGAAGTATAGCCACCACGTTAGCAGTAAAGGTTTTACCATTGTTGGTATTTATACGAACGCTAATTGCTGTGTCATGTAGTAAAATTTCGATGATAAATCCTCGGCTTTAGTATTTCTTGAAATGGCCTTTTAGTCGGCTCCTATTCGGTGGGGTGTTTCAAGAGGTTGAAGTGTTACCGCGAGGAATTCTTTCCCAATCAATGAGACTGGGGTCTTACCGAAAGGAAATTCTGCGTTTCAAAAATTTTTGGTCCCTTAATGGATACCTCGTGGAAAGAGTGATTGACTCAGAATGACTGACGCCCAAAAATTACGGAAGATGTCTAAGGATTTTCACGGAAAATGTCGAATTCCGTTGCGTACATCAAATTTGATATTTGGCTTGAATCGGTGGCACGAGTTATCTGCTCGCCGCTGATTGGTTTATACACAGTCGAACTGGGTGGGCTATATCCGTGAAACTATCCTTTAATACATGCAAATAAACTTGGATTGGTCTTGGCTTCAGTGACGCAGTCAGAGCTGACTTTTCGCCTGACATTTGCACCCTCTAGTAATTTCGCTTTCATCGTACAGCCTCATGTGATATTTTTAATGACTTCTTTTTCGAAGAACTCGATCATTGAAATGAAGCTCTTCTCAATGTTTTTTTTGTCTCCCCAGATGACGGTGGTATTAGCTTAAAATCAATTTTACAAGTGGCCCAGCTTGTTCGCCAGGGCGTCAATCCATGTTTGCCTAACTCAAAGCACCATCATGATATCCCACTTCCACCAGGAGTTATGTCTTCAGTTTGCAAGTACATAAGTAAGTCTTAAGTCAAGCCCATGGGCATAGTTTTGGGATGGAGGAGGTATATTATCCGAGCAATGTTTGCGTCAGAGCAAAAGTATAAAATTGTAGAACAGCAGAGGTCAGAAACCTTCACTGGGTTTTGACTTAGTGGTTGTGCGCCTCGTTTTCGACTAGTTTTTCCAAAATGAGCAACATCGTTGCTTAGGTTGTGTGAAAATTAGGTCTCTTTATCTATGACTTTGATTACGGATATGTACATAAGTCAACACTAATGTAAATTCAATGTTGATTTTATTGTCGAGGCGAATTAATTTCTGTGTGTTTGTTTTATGTTACTGCACTTGCACAAAAGAAAGTGGAAGGAAAATTCTTTCTTCTCGTCTTTTTTGGCTGCGGACAGCCACCGTTAATAGACCATATTCGCATTCTCGGTATTGGACTAGAACTAGCTTGGAAAGGAGGCTTATGGGGTGGGGGGGGGGGAATATCATTGAAAAGAAGTAAATGTCATATGTATTTAAAATGAATTCCTGCATTAGCCTCAGTTACAAGCCAGTTTCAGTCCAATACCGGGAATACGAACTAAATGGCTTATTGATTTGCTCGCGTACTGGTCTCGCTGTACGGATGATGGGCAATGACGTAACGAAGTAAAGAGTAAAGACGTAACTCTTTCGAACAACTCGGTATTTAAGACACCAACGACCGAGGAAGGGAAGATATAGCAGTTTTAAAATAAAGTGGTCTGCAAATTCTGGCAGACAAACTGTACCAGAGGTACCATAGACATATGACGGTAATTGTTCAGTATGAAACGAATCGTCTGCTTTACATTCAGTTTACATATGTTGAGAGCTCGGTGTGGACCGTGATTACGCAAAACAGATTTACACATTAATTTCGCCTACTTTACATACAGGATTACTCAAATAATCTTTATGCAACCAAGTGAAACACGACACTACAAAAGTACCATTTACTAAAATTTTCTGTCTTTTCTTGTTTTAGCTTCGCAGTGGCCATGGCTATTGCCTGAAGCTGGACGGCCACCAAGTAAGAAATAATACAGTTTCACTGAAATAGAGATCGAGTTGCAATAGAATGTCAAAAACATGATGCGATGGCTGTGGGGTTTAAATTTGCTGTTCTCCGATTGGTTAATAAACCTAGGCCTCATGCAAGGAGCGAAAATCAAACCGAGGAGCCATGTTGCCTGTTTCAACCAATCAGCAGCAACGAGAACACCAATTGTGACTTTGAATACGCGTATTTCTCCATCCTTGCGGCTTTTTCCGTTACACATCGGTATTAAATTCTTTGCATACTGATAGGTCGATTACAGTATTAGGGGTCGGCTCGATTCTCCAGCCGCTGTTCGGGAAACGAGCCCGCGCTCCTCCGCCGAACTCTTCTCGGGAAGGAACTAAGACCGAACGCAAGAGAGTGGCGGTAAACGAGCCTATATTAGGGGTAGATTATTAGATTATTTAGGGTACGTAGGCGCTTCAGATTATAGAAAAATCATATAGCGCAGACTTGAAAACGAAAACGCCTGCATCGTTGGAAGAAGAATAAAGAATATCGAGCATCTAAATTTCATGCATTCCCCACTCCCCTCCCCCGCCCCGTCCTCCATCGATAATCTAATAATCTAATGGTCTACCCTGCCTTTGAGTTTGCTAGATTAGCTCGAAAAGAAATTTCTCGCACTCGACACTTTCAGTTGTCAGTTAGAATTTTGTGTTTTGTACGTTGACAACTCTACACCTTCAACTCTCTTTCATCTCTAGGGAATGTGCAGTGTGGCACGAAAAAGGCCGGTTCCAGAATTGTAGGGGGCACAGACGCCCAGCCAGGGTCTTGGCCATGGCAAGTGTTATTGGACAATAAGGCGTTTAAGGGTCCTGTTTGGTGTGGAGGCTCCATTCTTACCCCGTACTGGGTCGTTACCGCCGCTCACTGTTTCGATTTTGGAAAAGATCCCGCGACTTTTACTCTGACCGTAGGTAAGGACACACTTCTTTATCGTACTTTATAATATAGATAGGACCCTGCGCGCGCTCTGATTGGTCGAAAACCCGTCTTTTATCAGAGAATATCACACAGAAAACGGGTGTTTTATTGTTTTTCGCCACATTACCTCTACATAAAAAGCAAAATGAAGAAGCCTAAGCAGTGTATTACACTGTGATAACACACTCCGGACATTTGCGAACACTCGAGAAATGAAGAAAACACTCGTTTGCGGCTCGTGTTTTCTACATTTTCCTTGTGTTCTCAAACGCGCGTCGTGTTTTATCACAGTGTAACACACGGCTTAGGCTTCTCCATTTGTTAAGTAATGACATAATAACATGAGAATATTTTTCAAATGTTTAATAGCCGTTTCACGTTAAGGTTTAGATATATATGTATATATTCTGCAATTACTTTCTACAGCTTCTTTGAACGTAGACCATGAAAAGTAGCGGATTCCTTTTCACTCTATCTTTGACAGCATTTAATATCCGTTTTGTAGACTGAAAAACGTTTCTACGTTTCAGAGTTATCAACGCGAAAGGCTCAAAGCTCGAACACAAGTCTTGAAATATTCCCATTTATGGCTCTATTCTATGGATTAAATTTGTTTTCTAACTACACCTTTATCTGTGTAACAGGTGAACATGATCTTCGTAAAGCGGACGGAACCGAGCAAGTTATCCCAATTGACCAAATCATCATACATCCTAAATATAACCCGCCAGTGACTGGGCCCGACTATGACGTGGCATTGATCAAATTGAAGAAACCAATCACGTTCAACAATGACGTAAGACCTGTATGTCTGCCCACCAAGGATTTTCCTCCTGGAACTAATTGCTATGTCACTGGATGGGGCGATACACGGGAGCAGGGAAATATTGCACAGGTAAATATGACTTGTATTCACGATATTCATGATAAGCGKKTGTAAAATCCACAAATGAGTTGAGCTGGAAGAGACATTCATTCACTGCGCAAGGTATGAAGCGAATAAGACTATAAAATCTATGCCATTTTTATGTTAGATTTTGCAGCAAGCCCAAGTTCCTCTTGTACCACGTGACACTTGTCGGCTAGCATACAGCGACCTCGGATTGCCCGTTACGAAACGCATGCGCTGTGCAGGTTTCTCTCAGGGAGGAGTTGATGCATGCCAAGGAGACAGTGGAGGTCCGCTGGTCTGTCCAAGAAATAGCAAGTGGTATCTTATGGGTATCGTCAGCTGGGGCGTTGGTTGTGCGCGTCCAAATAGATTCGGAGTGTATTCTGACGTGTTGGCTCTTAAGTCCTGGGTGGAGGAAACAATGAATTCAAACCCAACTCCATGATTGTAGAAGGCAGTAAAGGGATTGAAATTGTCGGTTGAGGACTAGCTCATGTTTCATGGAAAATAAAACAATCACGGCAAATTAACAAAATAATCTTGCTTAACGGTTAATTATTCGGGTAAATCACGATTTGGGTTACATTTCACGAGAAATCCGATTATATTTAACGATAAAATAACTCCTAAATAACTTAATCCTTTAAGACTAATGCATTATATATTAGTAAGAATCATGGATTAGCTGAGTGCGTTCGAGTCAATAAAGTTAAAAGCATTGGATACTGCTTGGATAATTATATTGTCACACCACGTTCCTGGTTTTGACATTTGCTGTGTGTAATTTTTGCCCATACTCTGAACATATTGTTCTGTACTCAATTCCAGCCATGCGAATTTTGATTTTGCAAATCTGCAGTTTCATAGAGCTGATGTGAAACAGACTTAAAAAAAGCAATCACCACTGCCGGTGCCACGAACATCCTACGGAATTAAAGACTTTCACTTAGCCAACCCCAGGATAAGTCTCCATTAACACCCGTCTCCAGGAAACAACATGGCTCTCTTCAAACAATTATTGCAATAATTTCCATAGTACATCTAATATTTGCATGGAATCTATCACTACGCTACATAGATTTTCGGAATAAATATAAGTCTTGAAGTCCAATTTATTTTTGTTGGTTTTCATGACGAACACATATTTTGAATAACATTGTTCACTTCTGCACCGAAAGGACACTTTATTGTAATTCTTACACAAATTCATGAGAAATTAGGTGTTTGGCACACTCCAGTTCACACGCTGGAACGTTAAATTAGCACACACTCAAGATCAAGTGCTTAATTAGAATTGAATAAATGAAGGACCAAAACTTTAAAAGAGATATCAACAAAAAGAACTCAACCTGATATGTAAAACTGATAAGAAAACATGAAATTATATTACTTCTTTGCCGCGCGACAAAATGCCCAACAGAAGCCGAGAAAATTGAACAGGGCACATAAGTTAATTATTGACTTCGGAGGACAAAACGAACAATTCCCATTCTTGTATTATATATAACATATATAACCTAAATTCCTAAATACACGGAACCAAACGAAAAGAGAGCTAAAGGCAAAAGGAAGTCCAATAACAATAAATTTTCATTCACGCCGAGGCGAAGACAGCTATGGAAAAGCAAAAAAAATTTCAAAATTTTCGCAGACGTGCTTCGCTGCACATCAACATGTTCAAATCAATTCTTCACGCTAAAGCGAAAGCTTGAGTAGTGCCGACGACTTCTCCGACTTTTGCAGTGATTTTATCGGCCGTGTCGTTACCAATCGTTCCAAAAGTTGAATTTAACTTCGAAATAATGCTGTACATCACTATTTTTTTGTTTTCTAAAGTCCGGGAAACTGCTTTAAATCCGCGATCGATATCCAAAAATTACTTGAAAGCGTTCAACCGATCGTCATGGTTCGAGAACTCTGTACTCGTTGATCTTCCATTCTGAGGCCACCTGAACATTGATTTGTATATTTTTCCTTTCTATTATAAATCTCAAAGCAGTAATTTCTCCATGTTAGGAATGAAAACAAGACCTTTGACGTTTGCAGATTTGGCCCGCAAGGCGCCATTATTATTGCCTACCAGTTCGCGGCGGCCAAAAAGATAATTCACGTGAGATCGAGACCATTTGTGCCACGCCAGCCACCCAGTCCAAGATGGCGTCCAAACCCTGAAATGGCATGGCATCGCGATCGATAACCGCAGGACATCGTAAATATCGCGGGAAAAAACGATCGAAATACTATGCGTTCTCCTTCGTCGAACGCAATAAGCAATAAAAGAGGAAATGTAAAGTATTGTCAATTGCAATCATTTTTGAATTTCTGAATACGCGAAGCGTAGAAACATGCTTGTTTCGGGGACTCCGATATGCAAATGTGTCACTCACTCACTCACTCATTCACTCAGGGGTAGACACTGGTCGTAATTGGTCGGCCCGAACGAGAGCGCCCGAGCCCGACGCCATGCTGGAATAGTAATCGAACCCGACGCCATATTGGAATAGTAACCGAGCCTGACGCCATGGTCGAATAGTAACCAAGCCCGACGCCATATTGGAATAGTAAGCGTTCGCTATCCTGTTTGCGCGGTTACTGCTCAAAGCGTTTATATTAGGTGTTTCGCTAAATTCAAGTGGAGTTGACCTCGAATCAGTTCGAATTGGGGCTATGACCAACTTGAAGACTGAATTTCATGAGCATTTGCCTCGTCTAGGCGTTAAAAATGACTTTTGACTTTTTATATATGATTATCAATTTTCCCTTGTACATAGTTTTTATTCTTTTGTTAATATCTTTCGTGTTTGTAAAATTTTATATTTTGTGTATAGTGGGTCCACATCAACCCTTCGGCTGCCAAATCCCCTCTACAACCTACTTATCAAATAAAGTTTACTTCCTTCCTTCCTTCCTTCCTTCCTTACTTACTTACTTACTTACTTACTTACTTACTTACTTACTTACTTACTTACTATATTAGGCTCATAGCTCCTTGTAGAGTCCAAGGTAAGTCTAACGTAGCCTGTTTCTGTATTGTATTATTTTTTATGCACGCATTGAAATTCTGGCGGTACTCGTATCTTAAATTGGAAACCCGTAATTTAATTTGTGTTTTCAAATGAGCTTACTTCAGTTCGACCAGAGAGAACATTTCTTCATGAATGGTATACAAGTCAGCCTCCACGATCGAGTAAATATGCCCTAAGATTTAAGTGACGGAAAGTAGACAAATTAGCATCCAAGAGACTGCGTAGATCTACTTTTTGCGAGAGAGATTCAAACAGGCATAGTGGCTGGTGATGTACGTATAATTTAATTTTTCTTCTAGAAACAATTGGAATCAAAACTTGAAATAGATATTACTTGTACCTGTCAACAATTGTTTTGATTATTTCTGCATTGCTAGTAAAATTAACGCAGTTGCCAAGATAGGAATAAAATAATGTGATTTCCGTTTCCAAGAAAGAGAATTATCGTTACTTTTATTGTCTACATTACAGTCTGCAATGTCCTATTTATTTTGTATTGCATCAAGCTGGAGTGGGGGGGGGGGGNTTGACTCAAGGTACACTTTTTATCAGGCGGGAGGTTTGACAAAGAGGCAAGGATTTTAAACATTCATTGCTAATTTGTCTACGAAAAGAGATGTATTGGGCCTACTGTAGGTATGTGAAAGGGGTTTCAAGCTGGAAGCTACATGTATATGAAAGGGTAACCTTTTCTGTAAAAAACGCTACACAAAAGGGAAGAGATTTGGACCTTGGGGCAGAGCCTCCTTCTGTAAAACTTGATTAGGTCGCTTCTCAAACCTTATGAAGGTGAAGATTATGATCAGACTGAAGAATTTGTAGTTTTCTTTAATTTTGTCCTTATCTCTTTTGCACTTAAAAGAGCTAAATATGAGCGAAATTAATAATGTCAGGAGATTTTGGTGTTTGCCGTGGAGGTTGAGATGATTTATTTTAGGGAGGGTTATAATTATAATTTTAAGAGCAGCCGACGCAAGAGTTGTGTATCAGCGAATAGAAAGCACTGATTAAACCAATCAGATTCGCGGATTTCCAATAGTACACAGCCAAGTGGCTACTAAGACTCGTTAGAAACGCACAAACCTATTTTCCATTTCGTAGATATATATGTTATTGATCTTAATTTACGCATCTTAACGAATATCATTGCGAACTTCATTCATGTTTAGCCTCTTTCATACATTCATAGCAACTCTATATCTAAATATACTTTTGTGAATCTCAGTGTTTCTCAGAGAATCTTAATGTTGATCTTGTAACATCACTCTTATTCTGTAAATAATCAATCTTCTTGTTATGGTCAGTTTTGACTAGCATATGGGCAGGGCCTATATCAGTTCAGTGTTTATATAGAACTGTAGTTCTCCAGTCTAAGGAAAGCTTGGTCTGGTAACTTGCTAAAGACGTATGCAGTCAAAATGTTTGCGCCTAACACGTTTGTTGCAACTTTTGTCCTGTGTTTGCTAATTTTTTTTACAGAGATCAGTCAAGGAAGTGAAAATCAACCAAACAGCGTAAATGAAGGTATGTTTGGCTTAAAATACTATGAAGGATTGATTTCTGTTTGGAGATCTTCAGTGTACTTTTTTTTAAACTGATAGTCTACCTCTTGTTCACACGTCATTTGTCTCATGTGCGCGAAGAACATTCCTCAAATTGTCGTTCTTTTTTTCTTGTAACGAATCGTTGTCTATATATGTTTCAGATACCTTGAAGCTTTTTAGCGAAAACAAATTCAGAAACAAGCGTGATGGTTTGTATGAGAACCCTTGTTTGGTATGAAGCCACCACGTTAGCAGTAAAGGTTTTACCATTGTTGGTATTTATATGAACGCTAACTGCTGTGTCATGTAGTAAAATTTCATGATAAATCCTCGGCTATGATATTTCTTGAAAAGGCCTTTCAGTGGGCTCATATTCGGAGGGGTGTTTCAAGAGGTTGAGGTGTTACCGTGAGGAATTCTTCCTCAATCGATGAGATTGGGGTATTTCCGAAGGGAAATTCTGCGTTTCAAATATGTTTGGTCTCTTAACGGATACCTCACCGAAAGAGTGACGCAGAATGACTGACGCCAAAAAATCACCGAAGATGTCTAGGATTTTCACAGAAAATGTCGAATTCCGTCCGGTACAATAAATTTGATATTTGGCTTGAATCGGAGGCACGAGTTATCTGCTCGCTTCTGATTGGTTTATGCACAGTGGAATATCCGTGAAACAATCTCTTTATTACATGCAGACAAACTTGTATTGGTCTTGGCTTCATTGACGCAGTCAGAGCTGACGTTTCGCCTGACATTTGCACCCTCTCGCAATTTCTATTGCATCATACAGCCTCATGTGATATTTTTAATAACTTCTTTCTCGAGGAACTCGATAATTGAATTGAAATTCTTCCCAATGTCTTTTTTGTCTCCCCAGGTGAAGGTTCTATTTGCTTAAAATCGATTTTACAAGTCGCCCAGCTTGTTCGCCAGGGCGTTGACCCCTGTTTGCCTAACGCAAAGCACCATCATGATATCCAACTTCCAAAAGGAGTTATGTCTGCAGTTTGCAAGTACATAAGTAAGTCTAAAGTCAAGCCCATGGGCATAGTTTCGGGATGGAGGAGGTATATTATCCGAGGAATGTTTGCGTCAGAGTAAAAGTATAAAATTGCAGAACGACAGAGGTCAGAAACCCTCACTGGGTTTTGATTTAATGGCTGTGCGCCTCGTTTCCGACGACTTGTTTCAAAATGTGCAATAACATCGTTGCTTAAGTTGTGTGAAAATTAGGTTTCTTTATCTATGACTTTGATTAAGGACATAGCAGTAGCACATAAATGCCACGCTAGGCAACACAAAGGTCAATTTAATTTTGATTGTATTGCCGAGGCTAATTAATTTCTGTGTGTTTGTTTCGTGTTACTGCACTCGCATAAAAGAAAGTGGAAGGAAAATTCTTTGTTCCTGTCTTTTTTGGCTGCGGACAGCCACCGTTAATAGAGCATGTTCGCATTCTCGATATTGGACTGGAACTAGCTTGGAAAGGAGGCTTATGCGGGGGGAATATCATAAAAAAGGGGTAAATATCATATGCATTTGAAAGAAGATTGGTTATTTATAGAATAAGAGTGATATTACTGGATCAACATCGAGATTCACTGAGAAACACTGAGATTCACTAAAGTATATTTAGATACAGTGTAGCTATGAATACATGAAAGAGGCTAAAAATGAAGTTCGCATATACGTTAAGATGCGTAAATTTAAGATCAATAACATCATAATTAGATATATCTACGAAACAGAAAATAGGTTTTAGTGTTTCTAACGAGTCTTAGTAGCCACGTGGCTTCATCTTTACGGATTCGTAAATTTAAGATTTTATGCTGTGCACTTGGCTGTGTACTATTGGAAAAATCGAATCTGGAAAACCGAAATTGGAAAACCGCCAATCTGATTGATTTAATCATCGTTTTCTATTCGCTGATACACAACTCGTGCGCCGGCTTCTCTTGAAACTGAAAATTACTCTTAATTTTAGGCTTAAAAATACACAAATTGTAGTTTTTGTGTTGTAAGCCGGCTTAAGAGTGTCTACTAAAACAATTAGACTACTCGCGCTAGTTTTCTATGAGTGATAGTTAAATCGTCGACTACGCCTCATTGACTCTTCGCTCATAGAAAACTCGGGCTCTTAGTCTAATTGTTAAATAGAGACACGTGTGGACAATTCGAGATCGAGAGCTTTTCTGAATTCCCCCAAACTTTCACGACGGTGTTTCTATAACTCAAGAAGAAATCAGTAATCAGTAAATGAATTCACTGGAGAAAATGTTTTCCGTTTATTTATGAAAACACTGCGAGAGGAAGAAGTGAAGATTGCTCTTTTATTTAGAGTATCAAAACGTAAATTCTCTTTGGTCGGGCCTTCATTACGTCACTAAATCGCGCTAGATCTTGTAATTATACTGTCTACAGAATTGTTGCTTTCTCCTCACAGTTTTTTATTGGACGGTTTATTCTAAAAGGTAATAATATAAACAAACTAAAGACTAAGATCACTTTGTGATATATTCGTCAAGAAGCAAGAAATATACAATAAATATTCGCAATATATATAGAAATTTACCTTTTTGAACTCAGTAAAGAGAAATATTGTTCTGCCAATATTCAGGTTCTTACATCAAGACATGTTAATTCATCACGATTCGCAAACGTACATGACGATTGCTATAAATGTTCAAAGTTTGCTACAAACGAGCCAAGGAGCATGATGTGGTATATTCGTAAACGAAATATCCGTGATATAATGTTAAGATACGTGTACAACACATCATTTTTTTCTAACTAGTGTATTATTTGTAGCTTTGTTCAACATACTGTAAAGTTAATTCGGATTTCTCTAACTTTTCAAGATGTGCAAACCAAGACATAGCTTTTTTTTTAAGCTTTCGAGTCTGCCGCCCGCGTACAAACAACTGACATAGAATATTCCAAAAAAAAAAGAATAGAAAAAAGTGCAAAGTAAATATCAAATATAGCTATAGTTAATTTAAGATATTATCAAGGTACTCAACTTGATAAGCTCTTCTTAATATATAAATCTGGATTTATGAAAACAGTGTTAAAGAAATCGCACCCTGCTCCAAAGTAGACGATATAAAGATGAAAAGGAATGTCAGTCTTTTTTATTTTCCTCCTCTTCCATTCCTTGCTCTTCTTCCTATTTTTTATTTTTTTAATTTTTGCTATCGCTTCGAGCGACTTTAAGGCCAAAAGGAGTCGTTAAATCAAAGTGTATATGGCTGATTAATATTTGGTTCAAAGTATAGAGACGGTTTTCATAAATCCAGACATAGATCTAAAGGGAACAAGACTGGGTGGCCCGGAAAGGTCGAACAATGAACGTGTCGAATTGCTGTCGATCCTTCTAAAGCATCTGGAGCCAAACTAGGACATTTCCTGATCGTTTCGGACATTCTGTGCCAGTATTATCTCAACGTAACAAGACTGGATGACCCGGCGAAAGGCCGAACAATGAGTGTGTCGAATTGCTGTCGATCCTTCTAAAGCGTCTGGAGTTAAACTAGGACATTTCCTGATCGTTTCGGACATTCTGTGCCAATAATCATATCACTGGATTAATGAAAACCGTGCCAATGCTTTGCACCAAATCACCCATATGCACTTTGATTCCACGGCTCCTAAAGGCCTTAAAATCACTCCAAGCAATAAAAAAAGCCAAAAAAGAGCAAGAAAAGGAAGATAAGAGAATGGAGAACAAGAAAAATAGATGGATGTTCCTTTGAATTTTATATCGTCTACTTTGGAGCAGGGGGCGATTTCTTTGACATTGTTCTCATAAATGCGGACATATATATTAATTATAACTATATTTGATATTTACTTTGCACTTTTACTATTCTTTTTTTGTCATATTATATGTCAGTTCTTTGTACGTGAGCGACCGACTCGAAAGCTTGACTGAACGAGGTACGTCTTGGTTTGCGCGTCTTGAAAAGTTAAGTAAATTTTTCAAGTTCTTCGTTAATCCGAATTAATCTCCTCCATTCTTAAGCATCCTTTCTCCTGTATGGATTAGAATTAACCCTTTGGTGTTTTTCTGTTTTAATAAACAATTATTTTCAGGCTTCCTTCACTTTAAAGGCAATTTTGCACGTGACCAGAATAACTCAAAATTAGTTATTGCGCTCCTTTAAGCTTCTTTGGTCACTGAGCACGCCTAAATTTAGGTTTACATTTTCCCTTTTTTATATTTTTCTTGGCGATATCGTAAATTTAATTAGTTTATTATTTGTAACTTGGTTCAACATACTGTAAAATTATAATTATAGCCCTCCCGAAAATAAGTCATCTAAACCTCCACGGCAAACACCAAAACCTTCTGACATTATTACCTTCGTTCATATTTAGCTCTCTTACTGAAAAGATAAAGAGAAAATTAAGGGGATCTATAATGTCTTCAGACGTTTGTCGATCCCAAACTGTCCACACGTGTTTCTATTTAACAATTTGACCACGAGCCCGAGTTTTCTATTAGCGAATAATCAACGAGACGTAGTCGAGTTGACTCACTCATAGAAAACAATAGCGAGTTTTCGAATTGTTTTAGTAGACACTCTAAAGCCGGATTACAGGACAAAAACTACAGTTTGGGTATTTTTAAGCCTAAATTTAAGAATAATTTTCAGTTCCAACAGCAGCCGGCGCAAGATTTGTGTACCAGCGAGTAAAAAACGATGATTAAGCCAATCAGATTGGCGGATTTCCAATGGTACACAGCAAAGAGCGGCTACTAAGACTCGTAAGAAACACACAAACCTATTTTCTGTCTCGTAGATATATCTCATTATGATGTTATTGATCTTAAATTTACGCATCTTAACGTATCTGCGAACTTCATTCATTTTAGCCTCTTTTATGTATTCATAGCTACACTGTATCTAAATCTACTTTTGTGAATCTCAGTGTTTCCCAGTGAATCTTGATGTTGATCTTGTAATGTCACTCTGATTATGTAAATAATTAATCTTCTTGTTATGGTCAGTTACGACTAGCATATGAGCAGGGCCTGGCCGAGTGTATCAGATTGGTGTTTATGCAGAGCTGTTTTTCTTCAGTCTAAGGCAAACTTGGTCAGGTAACTTGGTAAAGACGTATTCAGGCATAATGCTCGCGTCCAACACGCTTGTTGCAACTTTTGTCTTGTGTCTGCTTATTTCTTTTACAGAGATCAGTCAAGGAA